ATAACGTATTTTTATTTCCAAAGACACCACAATTCATATGTAATTGGGCGTTCAAATTAATGATTTATATTCCGCCTTTTTAAAATGTAACATACTGCCGTACGTTGTCGAGTTCACCAGCTGAGCTGTATTTAAATGGGTTTATAAGTGATTGCCCCTCTTATTTTTGTCCCGCCTTCTGTTGAGATATATTATTTATTAAATTATTTTAATATGCTCCCTTGCATTCAGATGGTGGAAAATGCAGGACAGGTGCTAGAGCTCAGCTTAGCAACTGGATTTTCATCGAAGTAGTCCAACTGAGCTGAACTGGAATCGGGTTTCATAATAACTGCATGCAGGAACCCATTTACATGCGGCCAATATTGGAGCCAGTGAAAGCCCACAAGTCCAAGAGCCCAACTTGTCTGGACCCAATTGAAAATGGAAAGTATGCACAGCCGAGCGATTTGAATTTTTGGCCCCGTTTGCCCCAAATTGAAAATCCCAAAATGTTCTCTGCCGCCGATTTTCGTTGGCTGAGCGCTGCTAAACCCCCAAAAAAAATAAAAAAAACGTGAAAAGCCCCACTTAAAAGGGGTTATGCAAAAAAGGTGACTGCAGCCGCTATATATCGAAACTGGTTTGCGGGCAGAATTAGCCAAGTTAGCATTAACTGCCTCGGTTTGGTATTTGTTTGCATTGTGACACATGGGGTCTGTTTACTTGCTCTCGAAATAACCAATGCGTGGATGAGAGGCCAGCACTGGGGGCATTATCATTCGGCGATTACTCTAATTAGCATGTGTGCAAATTCACTGCCCTGGGACAAGCCCGTTCGACATTCACTTTGTTATTGGCTCTCTTTTTTAATTGGGGTGTTTTCGGAGAACTCTTTGGCCACCGCGATTGCTAATACTAAGTAACGATCTTAATAAACGTTTATGTAGTACCGGTTCTAGGCACGTCAGTTCAAGGCTGTGGTCGATGGCCAATGTCAGACGATATGGCCAGCAGCCAAGTGATATAACCGAGTAATCCAATCACATCCGATTCGAGTTCGAGGTGTTACGACATGTAAGCCGGGCGGAAACGTAGGTGGCTTGTGCCTATCCCGGGGCTATCAAAACTATCTGAACTACATATCGCAGTTTCCTTTCACAACAACGCCCTGGACCGATGCTCATTAGCCGTTTTGGCCCGGCCGTTTTGAAAGTAACCGATCCGCGGAGAAACAAAATCTGTGGCAGGTCTGCAGGCCACTCGCTCCATATAATTCGGTGACGATGAACACTTGAAGATTAATAGCCGAAACGCCTTGATATGATAGAGATCCGCACACCGGGGAAAAATGTAAGACATTTTTTTAATAATATAGTAAAATATTATTAGGAAAATAATAAAACAAGCTGTGATTGGAAACAAAATGAAATGTGTTAAGCAAATTTAAAAAATTAGGTCCTCAAAGGATCTGTTGGTCTTAAGATTAATTTAAAATGAATAATTTACTTTAAGAGATTTGTAAAAATAATTTAAGCATTACAAGAAATGTAAGATATAAAATTCAAAAGCCCTATACTTTCCGAATGGATTTTTAAGATAACAATAATTAAAGAAAAACATTGGTTAATGATATCAAATTAAAAAGTCCTATCTTTGCCGAATTGATTTTGAAGATAATAATAATTAAAAAAGTACATTAAATTTAAGATAAGAAATTTAAAATCCCTAACTTTGCACAATTGATTTTAAAGATAACAATAACTAAATAACTAAAATTAATTTAAGATATAAATAGATTTTTAATATAACAATAACTAAAGTAGTTCATTCCTATACAGTTTAACAATTTTTCAATAAGGTTTCTTCCTTGAATTGACATAGAAGGGGTCAAATAAATACTTAATTCAACAGTTTTAGTAGGATAATTTGAAAATAATAATGAATTTGTTCTGCCTGTACCCAAATGCAGTAATCGCCTATCTCCCCTTAGTGAGTCCATTACGAAATGAACCTTAAATATGTTTCAAATTGAGGCTTACTGGCTGTCCGCCGGCATTCTCCAAATGCCTTGTCATCGCCAACGTGCAATTGCTTCATTTTCGCATTCTGTGCTCACAAACTTGGTTTAAATTGATTCAATCCAAGCGCACGGAGGCAACTGCTGACAGTTTCATTACCGGCTCTGTCATCGACGGCAAGGTCTTGATGAATTTGGTAAACATTTCGGGCTCTTAGCTGGGCTAAGTCGGGGGGACCTTTGTGGCCAACCCTTCTGAGCGCCGGATCTCAATAAACTAATATCGCGATCAGCACTAATTCTAAAGCGATTTTAATGGCTTTGCTTAAGTGCCTGCCTTTTGGTTTTCCATAAATGCAGACCATTAGACCAATTAGGCCAATGTGGCTGAAGGCTCCACCTCCGCAGAAGGTGTGCCAACAGCCGGTTTCGGTTTCCCACAGACACTCACAATCAAACTCAGCCGCAATTGTATTGTATGATTTTGTGAGTGGGGCATACTTTCGTTTTCCGTCGATTGTGAATACCATCGGATTATCAATATCCTCCAATAATATTCAAGCACCACACTGCGGTTACAGAGTTATTATTACCCCACCATTTCAAGACTCAATAAATCAGTCTTGAAGTATATACGGCCACTACTTACCCATAGAGGTACGGAAAAAAATAAATGAGGATCGTTTAATATTTTCCATTAGTGAAAAATAATATGCTGGCCAATAAATTAATGATTTTTATTTCATAGATTTTCAATGATTTTGTTTTTTTTTTAAATTCTTATAATAAGAGCTCACTTTCTAGATGCTAGATTCTTTTTTAAGGTGCAGTTATGACCGTTTCTATTCTCTTAACGAAGGTCAACTCCATGCCAAAAGAGCTGCAACTGACTCTGACTTTGACGCCTGTGGCCAATGCGAAGTATGGCAGACTGAACTGATCCGATATACATATTATATAGCGGATAATGGATAATGGGGACTGGGGGCTTGGAGTGCGCTGCACATGCATGCTGGCTTTGTTTTCAGACGTCAAACTAATAAATTGCCAGAAATGCATGCTGTTGGCATAACGAAATTCAAATACCTTTTTCAAATGACTCATTTTTATGCCAATGGGTAAGAGCAAATTTCAGCTTAAAGATTGGGTGCCTAAATTAAAAGATACATTTTATATAGGTCATAATACCAGTTGATGATTAATATTTAAAAATGAACTCTACTCAAGCTGCCATAATCTTTACCCAACATAACATTCTGTTGTCTTAAAAGGGTAAAAAATATATATAATTCATATACTTACTCATTAATCCGCGATTTGTATTCAGAAGTAAAAAACAAGTCGATTTCTTTTGTGCCATGCCAGAAATATGTTTTAACAAATTATCATACCGACTAGGCAAGTGATTTTTGGTTTTATTTTTCGCTACATACATAGCCATGTCAAATAACTTAATTTATTATTAATTAAATATCTGGCAGGAGAGCGTAGACATAACAAAAGCGGTTACTAATTCGATTTACTCGCCCGGTTAATGTATTTCGAATATTCCACATACTTAACATATTTTGTAGCTCATGACCACAGAATACAAAACTGGCTCAACTTTTACCACCAGCCGTGGGGACAAAATCAAACTCGAATTACTGCCTGATTGGAAAATTATTCAATTGATTTCGCACTAACACACATAGTTCTGGCAGCAATCTTATCTTAATTGACTCTTGATCGACTAATTGGATGTTTAATGTTCCTGATTTAATAGTTCCCACTAAGAATTGATGGTGTTTCATGTGTGTGAAGGTGTGCTGGCCATAAAAATGTATCAACTGTGTGTTTAAAATTTATTGGAGACCCACCAAAGCTGTGCATGGAAATGAAATTTTACGATTTGCGCAATGTACGAGATCATAAAAAAGTGCGTTTATGAAATGTGTTGCCGGCCGAAGAGATAAATAAAAAAATGAGAGCAATTTGCTGGATTCAAATCTAGTGTCCACCAACATTTTGCGATTGCATTGCATGTGGTCGTGTGTTTTGTTTTTTGAGCCACGCGGCTTATTCAATTTGTTTTTTCTTTTACGTTCGATGCAATGTTATTTATGATCACAAAATGTCAGGCCATGTTAAACTTGTGGCAGTATGGCTCTAACTTTAATGTCAAATGGGTGAGTCTATATCCAACCATAGGATGGAATGGTCTGCATTTGGCTAGTGTTGATAGAACTCGCTTGGAAAAAATTGAACGATTTTTGCCAATTACTTCAAAAAATACGTATATAAAATATAAGAAAACTAAAGTGATCATATAATTCTACATTTCCAGATAATTATTATTAGGATAAAGAAAGCTAAGATTGAATACTGCTTGTATTAAAAGTATATCAGAGTCGGTATTCAGGACTAAATAATATACAGTCTATACCTTACAGTACAATTTCTTTATTAAAGAATTAATTTAAATTTACATTGTTTTTTCTGGTGCTATAATAAATCTTCTATCATATTAACCTTACAAATTAAAAATTTGTGGGTAATAAATATTATATATATTTACTATATTATATATTTCCGATTTAATATATTTCCAATATTATACATTTCCGATTTTATATATTTGTGATATTATATATATTCAATATTTAAGCTAAACAATAGCTAAAAAGCTAGCTCTTGGTAGGACTGACTGAGGTTGCAGGCAGTGTGGCATATTGGCTCGGAGAGATTTCAGATAAGACTTGTCGCAATTCAATTGGAGCGTCAGCGCCTATGACGGGACCATAAAAAACGTGGCCTAAAACAAACAAACCAGGTGGAATGGGGCAAATATTATTTATGCCCAACAGTCGCAGTCACTGCTGAGGGGCCAAATCAGTCCATAGATTGAAGAATTAACATAATTGCAGTATAATAACAGAGTCGGTCCCTTGGGGGCTGGGAGTGCGTGGCCCGCCCTCAAGGGGTGTGGTCGGTGGGCGTGGCACACTCAGTCGTTTGCGGAATGTCCACACCTGAGCAACGTTTTTGGCTGGCGACCTTGCTGTTCCTCTTGAGTCAGCATTGTGGGGTTTTCGGATTTGGAATCAATCTGATGAAGGTTCCAACTGAGGCCAAAGCGCCGGAAGCTTGCATCCTCGCTTTGCTCCGGAAATATTTCGATTCCGGAGATGGACTCTCCGGCTCTGTACTGTGCTTCAATCGAAACTATCAGTTGCCAAACATTCAAGAGCAGTTACTAAGAGGTATGAATACGTATGCAAAGTATCCTTGGAGCATCTTGATCACGAACTCCAGGGAGGGTCCTTCGTCGTCCCAGTTCGTTCTGAGCGAGAAGCCGCAGTGTTATTTCCTAATTATTGAGAGTTTAGATGACGAAGATTTAGATGAGATATTTGAGCACTGGAAGAGCATGGTCAACTGGAATCCCCTGGCCCAATTCGTGGTCTATTTGGCCAGCTTGGAGGAAACTGACGAGGAGATGACCGACCTCATGGTGGAACTGCTTCTCACCTTCATGAACAAAAAGATTTTCAATGTGAATGTAATTGGGCAGAGCGAGGAAAACGAATTCTTCTACGGAAAAACCGTGTTTCCCTATCATCCAGATAATAACTGCGGGAATCGCGTGATATCGATTGAATTAATAGATGCCTGTGATTATCCGAGTGAAGAAAAGGAAAGAGATGATGAGAAATCTGGGGAGGGGGAAGGCGGTGGAAGCCAGGAGGAAGATACAGAAAATGAAAACAGTCAGGAAAATGAGGATGATCAAGTCGAACAAGATGAATACTCCCAAACAGAAGATCAAAGTGGTAAAGAAAATTCAGATGATAAAGAAGATACTGTCACAAGCCAAGAACAAGAAGGTATTGATTATGAAAATCATATAAATAAAAGTGAAGATGATAATGGAGATAAAAAGAATAGTGAGGAAAGTGATCTTCAAAATTCAGAGGCAACTTCAAGTCAGGACGATAATAATAAAAGAAATAATATTATAAATGACCTAGTAAGCGAGGAAAACACAAATGACGATGCAATAAAAGATCAAAATATAAGCTTTGAAAAAAGTGAAAATTATAATGATAACTTACAGAACCAAGATAACAATGATGATAACTCTCGAAAAACTAAGTTCTATGCCACTCTAAAAACTAAAGAAAAATTTCTAAGAAAAAAGTTTGAACCGGAAAATGAGTATTCTGATAAATCTTATAGCGATAGAGATGAAAATATGACCGATACTACAACAGAAACAAGCAGAGATGACCCAACTCAAAGTTCAACTGAGATGAACAATGAGGATAAAGCTGATGAGTCGACTGAAAAAGATAATGAGGAACTTGAGACTAATTCAAACTCCTCAGAGCCGGAGGCCACCATCGAGGAATTCTATCGCGCCAAGTTTGAGGACAAGTTCCCTAGTGATCTCAGTGGATGTCCTCTAACAGCCTCATTTCGACCTTGGGAACCATATATATTTCGCAACAGTGAGGAGGATGCTGTGGACGATTACTACTATGGTTTACAAGGTGATGGAGACGACTACAACGAAACATCACCCAGTTATGGGGAATCGGAGGACGAGAGCTATGGTGATCCGGGGGAAGAGGGTGACAACACCATCCCAGACAATGAAATTCAGTCCAGTGCAAAGGTCAAGTTGAGTGGAATCGAGTACCAAATGCTGCAGACCATCGCCGAGCGTCTGCATGTACACATCGAAATGCAGAGCGAAAACAGCAATTTATACCATCTTTTTCAACAACTTATCGATGGGTGAGCATAAAATAATTTAAGGAAAATAATTTAATCTCTCAAAATGTGTAATACTAATATATTATTATTATTTCATACAACCGCAGGGAGATCGAGATGATAGTGGGCGGAATAGATGAGGATCCGAGCATCAGTCAGTACGTATCAAGTTCCATTCCTTATCACCAGGATGAACTCACTTGGTGTGTGGCAAGGGCAAAGCGAAGGCATGGCTTTTTCAACTTCGTGGCCACATTTAAAGCGGATGCCGGATTCTTGCTCGGACTTTTTGTGGTCACATGTTCTCTGGTCGTATTGGTGGCCCAACGCGTTTCTGGCTTCCGGCTGCGAAATCTGAATGGATATTTTCCCATCTGCCTGAGGGTTCTTGGAATCTTACTCAACCAGGCCATTCCTGCTCAGAATTTTCCCATAACTTTGAGACAACTATTTGCTCTGTCTTTTCTTATGGGCTTCTTCTTTAGCAATACGTACCAGAGTTTTCTGATCAGCACACTGACCACTCCACGCAGTTCCTATCAAATTCAGACTTTGGAGGAGATCTACAGCAACCGGATGACCATCATGGGCACCTCCGATCATGTTAGACATCTTAACAAGGAAGGGGAGGTGAGTCTTATTTCAATATCTAGATTTAAAAATGATTTAAGAACATTTTAACCCCTTTTCAGATCTTCAAATATATTCGGGAAAAGTTTCAGATGTGTTATAATTTGGTGGAATGTCTCAATGATGCCGCTCATAACGAACACATCGCAGTTGCTGTATCTCGACAGCACTCCTTTTACAATCCGCGAATCCAACGAGATCGTCTTTTCTGCTTCGATCGACGAGAATCCCTGTATGTTTATCTAGTAACCATGCTGCTGCCAAAGAAGTACCATCTTTTACACCAGATAAACCCGGTGATCCAACACATCATTGAGTCGGGTCATATGCAGAAATGGGCCCGAGATCTAGATATGCGGCGTATGATTCACGAGGAGATTACAAAGGTGCGGGAGGATCCTTTCAAGGCTCTTACCTTCGATCAGTTCCGAGGAGCCATCGCATTTTCTGCCGGACTTTTGATGGTTGCCAGTGGAGTCTTTGCCATAGAGTTCTGCTTTTTCTACTTCTACCGATCTAAAAGGAGAAGGATCCGAAGAATACCACGTGTACAGATAAACAAAGTTATAAAAAATATGCGTTAATGTTTATAGAACCAAAAGATTTGAAATTCCAAATTGATGATAAATTTAAAAAACATTTAATAATTTAAAAGCAATTAATTTTGCAAGGTTACTGATAACCGACGTGAAATATATATATGATATGAAGTATATATATGATCTGAGGTTTAAAGACAACAGAATGAAAGTATAATTGTACAAAAATTCACTGATAAATTAAATGCTTTTAAAAATGATTTTTTTTTAGAAAATAGCCCTCAATATATATTTTTGAGCTAGCCTTTTTTTTTTATCTTATCAAAAATTAAATACTGTTCTCATATTATAATCACACGTTTAATGCTTGTACTTCTGCCAGAAAGTATGCAAACGTTTTTAGATACATTTGTTCTTTTTTTAATCTATAATTTTACTAGTTCGTTGATTGTTTTCAAAAGCCTATTTTTCAAGTGGTTTCTGTCAGTGCAAACATTTGATTTTGGTATTTCTTCTTTTTTTGATCAAGCATACGCCCTGTTGAACCAAACATGTGCATTGCATTAAACGCTTTAAAAACAAATTAAATATAAAAATGTCGAAATATAGCTTGAAGAGATTCATAAATATATGCTTATATATTAATATTTTCTTGGCACAATATTCATTTTAAAAATACAGTATTGCAATACACCGTGGAATGCAGTCTGCGTTGCAGGTGCACAGAAAGAAAAGAATAATGTCCAATGATATATTAACTGATTTTAAATATTATCTCACTCTTTCTAATGATTATCAAGAAATATAAGTATTCAATTTTATAAGGTCTTTCTGAAATGGGATTTCTTACCAAATGAAGAGCCCAAATATTTTTAAGAAACTATCCAGGAAGGGCTTTTTTTTGTACAAGTTCCTGATATTTTTCTCCGTGTTTGGTGCTCATACCCGTAGAAATATCCGTACCCATGGCTGCTGGCGATGCGGCTGGTTGTCAGAAAAGCGAACAAGCGCGCACGCCGCCAACGTCAAGCTGTCGTCGGCATTCTGCTCCGTTGTTTGGCGCATCCTTAAAAGGTGGTGGCCCAATGTTCCGACCTGGTCTGTTCGCCGCTTTTTTGTGCTGGCCTGGCTGGTGCCTCCGCTTCTGATGGCTCTGCCCCAACCAAATCTCGTATATGTGGCTTTCTCACATTTTTATAAATAATACTTTCAGGCAGCACATTTGTTGCAGTATCATCAAATTGGCAGATTTGTGTTGTTGCTGGCCAACACAATTCAATCAGCTGCTAGCCAGCTAATGTGGGCCGAAAATTTCTAAAAACACAAAAAATAACACACAGGCGCTAACATATATTCAGACGTATTTCTATATTAATGTTGACCAACTAAGCGTTGTGACAGACCGAATGAATGGCGCCCAACAAGGCGTTGTGAAAATGTTTGCCGACTAGCCAGCTGATAATAGGGAACATAGAGTGAATGAACGCATATATCTTAGGGAAATTCTATATTTTATAAAGAGTATTCCATGACTATTGGGGAACCAAGAAAGTATCTAAGATAATTAACTTGACGCATCAAATACTCATTGATACATTTTGTTATGCCAAACTATACCCTTATTTACTACTCAATCAGCCCTATTAAGAAATTCCACTTCCTCACCTGCGATAACTGGCCAATCATATATTTATCTAAATTTAAATATAAGAATTTCGTGAGTTCTGCGTTAAAAATAGAATTCCATAGTCTAGATACGTTTCTGCGCGTAAGCGTCAAAGAATCTCTTGCAAAAACGTGAGAGCGCACGGTTTTCATTTTATTTATTTTTGCCTTTCCCTTCGATTTCCATCTCACTCACAGTTTTCCCCACCCACACTCGCACACTCGGAAAAACTGAGAGAATATGTAAAGTAAACAACAAACGCATTTCGCCTTTTGTTATTATTTTTGAAAATTCCCATAGCACCATATAAGTCAATTAAAAGTTTTGATCATTAACCGAATGGATTTTAATGATCTCGTTTGTGATTAATGAGAGTGTGCCGCCAAAAAACAAAAAAAAAACGGAAAGAAATGCTAATGGCCACTTTTAATTAATTTCAGTTTTGCCAACCAGCAAAATGTGGCAAATCTATAAATGCAATGTGCGCTCTATTAACAATTTTTGGTTTGCGTTTATGGCTTTTGAGTCCCTAACCAACGAGCACCAAAAGCAACCCACCCACCCAGTAGAACAGCCCACACCCACCAAATTATGGCCGAGAGAATGCGGCGATATATAACTTTTGGTTTTGTTTTGAAATTTTTATTTCTAATTGCGAGTGCGTTCTCATCATCGCTGAGAGATTTCCATCGCAACCATGTATGGATTGGGCCAACGTGCAAATGTTGATTAAAAATTAGACAAAACAAAAAACGAACATGGCACCTATACAGGCGCAGATACATCCGCAGCTGCAGACAAAGATACAGATACACATTCGAATGGAGAGCGAATACTACGCCTACGATTGGGATGCTCCGATCCGGAGGATCTTCACGGGTGTGTGTGTCTGTGGGTGAGCCATCGCGATGTTGTTTACCAAGGCGCTCAGCACCGTCTGTTTCTCTGTTTCCCAGTCGATACACTGGGAAAAACATTGCAAAGCTAAAATTTTACTTTGGAATCTGTGGGATCTATACTCCGTTTAGGAATCAGCAATCATTTCCTTCTTTTTGTAGTCTTGAATTCAATTTATATTACAACAATTTTAAATATCTATGATATCAGGCGGTATTACAAATGATTTCGTTGGTTTTTATGTGGCACTTTTTTAAATTTAATAAATAAAATATTGTTTAAAAGCCTCCCTTTTTGATTAAGCTTTTAACTTGAAGAATATGTAAACAAATAATAACTCAGCATATTATTTAATATTTGTTTGATGTTGAAATGTAATCGTATTTAAGATAATATTATAAAATAAATTAAGAAAAACATAGTAATGTACTAAACAAATTTATTCTTAACAATATAAACTTAAACTTATTTCTGTTTTTCCTCATTCAATTTTTTTTAAGAAAAGATATTTTTTAAGTATGTATGTCAGAAAAAATTTAAGAAAAATGTATAGCTATCTAGTAAGATACAATTCTCTTCCAGTGCACCCTCTCGGAAATTATGAACGAAGCGAGGAGAAGTCCAAAAACAAAAATCCAACGAAAACAAATTATTTTTAAAAGAAATTCAGATTTTCCCCCCGCCCTGCGGCGCAATGTGCATCCATGTGCTATGTGCTGCATGTACACATGTGCCGAGAGACGATTGAGTATGCGTGCGGAAAATATCTAAACCGACTGAGGGTCGCCTGAATGGTATAAATATTAGCGCATCTCGGTCCAGCGACCACTCGCAGTTCTACAGCGAAAGTGTTGATTTGGATTTCTAGTTTTTCTTCGTCTAACGGTTAGTATCCAACATCCACCCAGTCTGTCTGTCTGATTGACTTTTACTCAAGCGATACTGGTTCGAGTGTACAGTGTATCCGAAAAGTAACGATTTCGAAAGGATAAGAATATCAAATATATTGGTGCATAATCAACAAGGATTCGGATTCCAAGGGTTCCAAAAAACCAATTAAATCAAAGATTCTCAAGTTTTCCTCCTAATACTTTCGAATTTTCCAGTGTCTAGTGACTGAGTTTTAAAAAATCCTTAATCTTTAAAATCAGACTCTGCAAAAAATTAATAATATTCGTTCCTAAGTAGTGCATACAAATCAGAAAAAATTAAATAGGACAAAGCCAAATACCAAGTGCCATCAAGAACTCAGTCCTCTAGAAAATCACTTCTGTTAATTTATTTTAACGAAACATCCCAGCGTTTTTTCCAATTCTAGACTTCACTTAAATTTTTTTCCTTTTGAAAATATACTTTTTCGTAAAAAGTCACACAAGTTCTGGTGCCACATCATCACAATCGAGCACAAGTCAAATCCAGCCCCAATTCAAAATCCCGAAACCCAGTCCCAACTTCTCCTTCTGAAAGACCTCCTCCGTTCTTGTTGTTGTTGCAGTGAAAACAGCCAGTAGCCAAGATGTGTGACGATGAAGTAGCCGCATTGGTCGTGGACAACGGATCCGGTATGTGCAAGGCTGGTTTCGCCGGCGATGATGCGCCCCGCGCCGTCTTCCCCTCGATTGTGGGTCGTCCCCGTCACCAGGGCGTGATGGTGGGTATGGGCCAGAAGGACTCGTATGTGGGCGATGAGGCCCAGAGCAAGCGTGGTATCCTCACCCTGAAGTACCCCATCGAGCACGGCATCATCACCAACTGGGATGACATGGAGAAGATCTGGCACCACACTTTCTACAACGAGCTGCGCGTCGCCCCCGAGGAGCACCCCGTCCTGCTGACCGAGGCCCCACTGAACCCCAAGGCCAACCGTGAGAAGATGACCCAGATCATGTTCGAGACCTTCAACGCCCCGGCCATGTACGTGGCCATCCAGGCCGTGCTCTCGCTGTACGCCTCCGGTCGTACCACCGGTATTGTGCTGGACTCCGGCGATGGTGTCTCCCACACCGTGCCCATCTACGAGGGTTACGCCCTGCCCCATGCCATCCTCCGTCTGGATCTGGCTGGTCGCGATCTGACCGACTACCTGATGAAGATCCTCACCGAGCGCGGCTACTCGTTCACCACCACCGCTGAGCGTGAAATCGTCCGCGACATCAAGGAGAAGCTCTGCTATGTGGCTTTGGACTTTGAGCAGGAGATGGCCACCGCCGCCGCCTCCACGTCGCTGGAGAAGTCGTACGAGCTTCCCGACGGACAGGTCATCACCATCGGCAACGAGCGCTTCCGCTGCCCGGAGTCGCTGTTCCAGCCCTCTTTCCTGGGAATGGAATCCTGCGGCATCCATGAGACCGTGTACAACTCGATCATGAAGTGCGATGTGGACATCCGTAAGGATCTGTATGCTAACATCGTGATGTCGGGCGGTACCACCATGTACCCGGGTATTGCCGATCGTATGCAGAAGGAGATCACCGCCCTGGCG